GACCTTGTCTATGTTGTTCAAAGTTCAATAATATTACTGCAACTTCACCACTATACAATCATCCAGCAAAGTTGTTGAAATGCTGAATAAGAGAGAATGTTGTTTGACGTTCTCTTGCTCAGTCGGCCCAAAGCTTTAAACTCTAAGAAATAGGTGGTCATAACTTTTGTAACGAAAATAAACAGGCAGAACGAGTTCGAAACTATACCAAAAGCGTGGAAAATTTTTAATCCATATTCGTGATAGTCGGGTAAACGTCAGTTGATTTGGCATGCAACGACTCTATTCAAAATATATCTTGACTTTAGAAATGCGAGAGAGAAAAGAATTATAAGTACGATTCTTGAGTTTCAAAACATCGCCATGCCTTTATACGAATGCGCGCGAGTTCTCTTTTGAATTCAAACACTTTATCGGGGAATGAATGCCGCGGTCTCTTTGAGCTTGGTCTCGACGAACATTCACAGGACATAGCTGGAAGCAAATATGTCATACCTGAAGATAAAATGTACCACCGCATTAAGCCTACGAAGGAATGACGATATAGCTGACTGTCTCTTGTACTGACTCTCGTGTTGCCCGCTCGATTTGTGAAAGCATGAACGTGGGGTTCTTTTCAAACCCAGCGCAGAGCGAACATGTCCCGTCTTTTGACAAGAGAGATTGTGTTATTAATTCATAGCACTGAAAGAGGCTCCTCTTTGTCGATCGCAAATAGACCCGGAAAACGGAACCATAAAATTCTGCGTGCGCGCACACAGCGTGGTTAAGTACAGAGAGTATCGACTGCTCCGATAAATTTTTCTGTGCGATATTGCAGCTCCATACGCCGGAACCACGGGCACGGAATGTTACAAGGCTCGCAATTGAAAATATAATGGCTAACATGTTTTTCTTTTATAGCCACCACCAATAGGCATTTCAGCGTCTCCTACAGGATGCTGTATCTATCGCAAAGCTTTAAAAAATGACAGGGACGTTTGACTCCGGGAGCGAGTGAGGGTGATGACCAAACCAAGGGGTGTCATCCTCTTCTTCATCACCTGTGGAATATCTCTTGTGGTTAAGCAGCGGAATAACTTTTCTTAACATAGATGACGGCAAACCTCTTTTGGTTTGTCGTCCTCGATGTTTCGAGGCAGTGCACTGATGACGGCATCACTCCTCACGTCCGTGTTCTCCACCAGCCACTGAACTTCGTAGTGGATGCCATTCTGCAGACACCGCATAATTTGCATAGGCAGTGTCTCGGGGCCCCGGAGGGGGGGGGGGGGTCCCTTTGAAACAGAGTTCCACTTTCATTGAGTATGTAAACGCACAAATTCATTGAACGTTGAAAGTGAGGGTACCTCACCTTCTGGAAGCGAGTCTCTGCAGTAGCTAAGATGGTTACGTCAACCTTGATGAACTCTTACTCCAGCATGGGAACCCACGCCTCGTTGACGGAAACGTCTCGCAGATGCCACAGACAATGTCACATAGAACAATGAACCTCGGTCCTTGCAACGTGACTCCACAGTGAAGAGTCGGAGTCGCTCATCACCACTGCCAGCAGAAAAAAAGAGGGGAAAAGCCCGTATATGTGGAAACACTGTTGACCTCCTCTGGTGGTTGCAGCAGTACTCGCTCGCTTGCGTGCGTGCTGAGGTCTCGGAGTGAAATGTCACTCATCTTTACTGGAAGTGCAGTAGACAAAGGGGCTAACCCGATACCCCTCGACTACTGTAAAACCGAGTGTTCGGGATCATCGAGCGAAATGTGTTGGTGTTTTGCTGTGCGATGATAGACAAAGTAATTAATACGAGAACGTTTTTCCCGCCTAACCACAGTTATTGTTCTTCTCCTACACACTTCTCATCCGCAATGCTTCGTTTTCTTTCTCCTGCTCCACTTTTCCTCTGAACGGCGTCACCTATAGCACGGACGCACGTCATGGCACCGATTTCACAAATTGTGCATGTACGCGTTTGCATAAAAGCTCAATAGCACTCGAGGATTGTGTGATTACTAGCCCAGTTAGGAATTAGGACACTCGCCCTATCCTGGCATAACATAATTTTCGTGTAGCAATTTTTGGTAACTCATGAACAGTATAATTAAAATCTTGAACCGACGAATGCTTGGTTAAAGAGAGAGACTGGAGGGAAGAGGAGAAAAAACGGAGAAAAAGACGAGCGGAAGAAAGCAGGAAAGAGTGAACAAATCATACGCGCACTACACGTATCGGAGTTCACCGCGCACAACTACAGGCAGTCACAACCGAGAAATATTCGCTATCAGTTCCTCTGCGGTTGTCTAAATGTAAACCAGAGTCCGATATTTTAAAAAAAGTTTACAAGGACTGACTCTAAGGAATCCAGGACTTGCAGCGCACATTCAGATGATGGAGTTGTCATTCTGTTGAGGAGATGAGAGACCTACACTAAGCGACGACTTGTAGGTTTTCGTCTCCGAAATTATTTATGCACGATGATGTACGTTGCGGGGCGTTCTGCTCTGGCTCTTTATGAGTGTCAGTAGTGGTAGTGATGGCCCCGCGGCATCCACCACCGTTTTCTGAGATACCCTCTATGGAGAAACGTGTGCTACATTAGCTGCGATCTACTTGGCGTTATGTCAACCGTTATCTTTGTGTTGTTCTGTTATCCCTTGTTCTAGGCGACCAACTCTTGTAACTGCATGGACGCGGCTTCAAGTGAGTCATGTTTAAAAAAAATAAATCATGATAAAGGACGTGAAAACAACCATTGCATGTCTTCGTGGTGTATAGTTACTTCATTTTTTTTGCCAGTACATTTCATTTAAAGCTTTGGAAAAAAAATTTCAAAAATTCATTACTTGATTAGGATGGTACTGACGTGGCATAGTCACTGTTAGCCTCGCTAAAATTGGCTGGATGGCTAGTCACTAATGACTAAATGACTGGCCACTCACTCATCCAAAACGCAGTTTTTCCGTGATCCCCAGTATTATTCTGGCACGGCCGGCGAGTGGTCTGCCCGAGCATCTCTTACGTTATAACTATTGCGAGCGTTTTTAGAAGCAGCCGTCAATTCAGTGTTTCGCGTGAAGGCAATCAGCTGCCGTGCGTACAACTCTTTCTTTCGTTTTTATTAGGACGCTTTGGAATACCTTTTTGTATACGCTCTTCACTACCTCCATATTTCATTTTCAGATGATGGTCAAAACCAGTGACCTAAATCCAGAAAGATCACAAGGGGGGACACACATCTTGCAGGGCGACCATTTTGTTTTGACAGTGTTGTAGGGTTTATTTTCACTGATACAAAAAATGAAAAGCCATGTCTTGAAATTAGCTTGACAAAAGCGAACGTAGATTCCCAGCTCACGTAATTGCATTGTTCTATTCTCTTGTGATGCCGATCAATTGGCCGTTAGGTCTCATAGAACTGAGGGGTATTGAGCACCGGTACAGACTACAAAAAATAAAGGCACTGAAAATGTTGGATGCAGTATGCTCAACAGTCAAGTTATTAAAATATTTGATGTTTAAAAGTGAAATTTTGAGGCGGGCCACTTGCAAGAGGTGCCCGCCCCCCTTGCTTGAGCACGAAGGGGCAGTACCCCTCTTGATCCCGCCCCCGTAATTTACGCCACTGCAGCACTTCGCTGTTGAGAACGCAGGTTCTACTCTTTTTCCCGCACACCAAAATTTTATGGAGTGAGAAATCCTGAAATGCTTCTAGGTCGTATCTTGCACTTACGTTAAAGAATAACAGTGTTTAAAAGCACTTTTCTCTCCTTTACTTAGAATACCTTCCAACCAACCGTGCAGTTTCGGCTCATTGTACCTCCCTGTTCAATATTCGATTCCCATTACTCGCGTGTCATCAGTCTTGTATTGTGTGAAATCACAGCTATAGCTTAGGCCTGAATTCACGCGAGCTATTGATAAGTACGAAAAACAAAAACAGAGTAACGAAAATAATGGTCTTAAAATAGAATTTCGAAATTTGTCCCCAGGATATTTAATTTATAGCGAACCTATTCGTCTAAAGAAGCACAATTTTTTTCATTCTTACTTAATCTTTTCCGTTCGCTAGCCACCTTCTATAACTATATATGTCTATCACAAGGTATTGTTGAAATTTGGCCTCAGAACATATTGACGCATAAGATTTTTTTAGGAATACAGGAACTTTACTCTTTATCCTAAGTATATGATTCGATAAACACTATTTTTCTATATATCCTGTAGGCACTTAAAGTCTAAGCTTCCACTCGACCTTGAAGATCAAGTGGAAGCCTACACTTCATCGTTACATAAAGTTGTATTTAACCTTTCAAAAGTTAAAAAAAAACGTGAATTACGTGTTTCCACTACCGCGTCTAATAACATATACCGCTATCCAGAGCTCTCAAAGTAAAATGTTGTACTCTTAGATGTTAATAATAATATGCGGTGTTTAACGTTCCAAAACCATCATATGATTATAAGAGCGGCCGTTGGGGAGAGCTCTGAAAATTTCGACCACCTGAGGTTCTTTAGCGTGCACCCAAATCTGACCACACGGGCCTACAGCATTCTCGCCTCAATGAAAAATGCAGCCGCCGCAGCCGGGATTTGATCCCGCGACCTGCGGGTCGGCATCCGAGTGCCTTACCCCCTATAAAACCGCGGCGGGAACTGAATAGCTAAGAAACCCTCAAGGAACTGTCCTTTCAGTGAATAAGTTGGTCATCGAAGCTTGCTGTTACAGCTTGTGACGTTATCACCTTCTCTGTACCAGCAAAGTAGCACTAAGGTTTCTGTAAAAAGGTCAAAGGCATACTTGAGGCGCCTGACAATTGTCTCCCTTGGATGTTCACAAAATGTGCCCGCACACAGGGGACCCAAGAAATATGGGTGAAACCATGACCTTCCGGCCAATCACGATAGGAAATCCGTCAGTAATGTAGGCCAAATGAAAATCACCATTTCAATCAAGGTGCTTCGCGAATCCGGTCCCTGACACGTGACGCACATGTTGTCTATACAGCGCCGTGCAAGATTCCGACGCTGGAGCACGCATACGTGAATCTATCAACACCCGAGTCCCGGCTGGAGCATGGGCGCCGGCTCAGCGTCAGCTGCCACGACCACTACGAGCTGGCCTATAATTCTACGCCCCCACGATGCAACAACGGATCGTGGACACATCTGCCAATCTGCGCCCCAGGTGAGTTACCAACGACACACGCAAGCTTGCTGCCACTGCGCTAAAGGAAAACTGCACCACGGTTCACTACAGAGCTTTTTCGCGCCGCGATATTAATTTGGATGGGTGCGAATCGGTCGGCACGGCTTTCATATATGTCATTAGTGCAGCTTATCATATTCAGCTGCAGCAGCCGCTTCTATACTGATTGTGTGGCTGCCTACCTTTTCTTGCTCTGGTCGCCATCCTTGTACACATCTCGGGAACCTTCCCCGTCGTCAATATTTTGCGCTGCGTCCTCAAAGCAGGGAATAAAATATTACAGGTGATAAATGGGCGAAATAGACGTACTGCTGCACGTTGCCTGTTGGCTTTACATGTTATTTATGCAGTTGCTTCAATCTAACAATCCCAGGCACAACCGAAATGCATTTTTCAACTGCAAAATGCCCACAACTTGACTACAAGGTTAGGGTGAACTTGAAATAATTTATATTGATTGCATGATGTCTGCACCATTCATCTTTATTTACCAATAAAAATGAAGACGTAGACACAAAACGTTAAAGCTAGCCTGTGTGTCGCCTTTCTGAAAATATTTTTTTGCGTCTCAGTGTTCGTAAGAGTACAAATTCAGCTCATTAATTCTTACAAGATGCACAGACACACACTAACATGTAAGGCACCATCAATAAAATTCAATAGAAGTCGCACACAAAATATTGCGGACGAGAACACTTGTCATTCGTAACCGTTCGTGTCTTTTTTAATGAGCTTTCTTTTTTCTTGCGCACTTCTTGGCTAGAAGACGGATACCTCGGAGTTGGTGTAATATATAAACCACCGACAGAAACGGCGTAACAAAGCCACTGACGGAGTAATAAGGCCAAGCAAAACCATCGTCTTATAAAATAGCCTAGTGTATTTGAAAATATTGTTCCAGGACAACAGCTTGTATGATTGATATTGTGAGTTATCATGTTTTATATCAGAAATGTGATAGACACATTCCAACATATATAATATCCGGAACAACTTTCGAAAATATGCTCGGTACTGCACATTTCTAGAGGCGGCGACAGCTAATGGCCCGTGAAAAAAGTTGATGAAAGAGGGTTCCAACTGGAGGAAAAGACAACTAACAGGCTTGTATATACGTCAATCGTGAAATAAATAGTCAGCAGATTTAATAGTTATTGTCGATAGACCAGTAACTTGCGGCCGCAATTGTACCGTCTGCGTAAACAATAAAAGCTCATAGTTGGTTAAATTTGTAACAATGTCATTAATATGTTCACTGTTTTTGGATTATGAACAAACTTAAAGACAAAAGTTACCAGTGTCATGTGGTTGAGTTATACTTTCTTTTTGAGACAGATTACTTTCGGAGATGAATATTCTTAGCGCAGGATCAACTTAAGTATAGACTGATTGGCAAGGTATCGCCAAAGAACTTGTATATTAACTACCTTAAGACACATGGTGTGTCATGGGTAGCCCCATTAATTCATGAAACCATAGGAAATAGCCATGAATTTCGAATTTTATCTGTGTCTGAGTTCTGACAAGTTGCAACAAAATGTATTTGCGCTCCAGTAGATTTTTTCTTAGTTTCCAAGTATCAACAATTAAAAGGTTGCTCGGTTATTAAGAAGTAAATGAAACAACAGTACACTATTTATGCAAGCTTCCATCAAGAAATGATCAATCAACTTTTATTTCTTATTGAAAAATATTGAAGTAACAAAAAAAAGCCACAATACAGTGGCTTGACAGAGCTCCGGCATCCTACAATATCCAGCATCAAAAATGAGCTAAGTACATGAAATAATTGTGCTAGAAATAGAACACATTTGAATTGAATGCACTATTTTATGAAGACGCAAAATATGGCCGGAACTAGAAAAACATCAGTCAGCCTTTTTATGAATTAGTATACGTAGTAACACATTGATTCGACTAAGAAGAAAAAGGGGCGGGGGAGGAAAGAAAAACGCCTCGCAATTAGACGTAATGTAACCTATACGAGACAAGCTGATAAATAAGCCAACAAAAATTGCAAAGGCAAAGAAAGTACAACAAGAGAACAAAAACGCACTACGATCATAGGTAAACGACATTAAGGTGAAATTCCTTCGAATGAAATCTACGAGTAAGCTTAGATGAGTTATCTAAGCAGTGAGCAGTTTCCTTAGCACATGAAATATAGAAGCCTCGGATTATGCGAACCGAAATGGTAACTACTATAGGTGAGAAAGTTATTTTCAATGCATATGAGCAAGTCAACTGGAGACTTTAAAAATGAAAAGAAAAAACGCCATGTGGGAACATATTAAGCATACAGAGCATACTTCAACTGATGATCACTATTAGATGTTACTGTGAGACAAAGTCCCATTTTCCTCCGAGAATATTGGGCGATAGATGCGTGTTGAAGCCGTCTGAGCGGCTATGCCATATTTAGCGTACTTATCTATGAGTGCGGCTAGTTGGAATGATACAGATTGATTTCCATTGTTCGGCATAATGGCTGGAACCAAGACGTCTTGCTAGGCGAAACGAACTGATGAAATCTATGTTCTTAGTCTGTATGGTGAGATGACGTGTATGGGAAAGACGAAAGATGTGCATGAATTTATCATTAAGCATATCGAATGTTTCAAAATAAGAGGCAGTATGAGTAGCATAGAAAACACTGGAAACGTTGGCTATTACTCAAACCAGTCACTTTTGGCATATACTAAGTTTTCTTTTTGTTTTCGAATTGTCAGAAGATGTATTACCCCATACAAAGTAACAATTATTTAATGTTGACGAAAATGAGCCATTGTATATCAAAGGTTTAGTTTTTGTATTATTATTTGATGGTTTTTGTTAATTACTGCAGTGATAGAATTTAACTTGTTACACACGTGTTGTACTACGTGATTATTCCATGACAGTGTTTCTGTAAAAGTAACACCGAAATTTTTAATCTCGTTACCAGCACTAATTATGTCATTGTCAAGATCCACGTTTTCTGTAGGTTCAATAACGGTATGCCGAATGCGTAAAAATGTGGCTTCCTTTTATGTTGTGGCTAGTTTTCGCAGTTTGACAGAGCTTGCAGAAAAAGTTGTACTGACTTCGAAAGGTGAACATTCAAGGTGGATGTGCCTCGAAATATTTGGGTTTAGGTTTATATATTACAAGGTGTGCAATAAATTATTAGCTGAGAAGTTTATGATACAATATTATTAGTGAGTCAATTATGTGTTTTGATTTACAGTGCGTAATTTGCATCTCTTCAGGTAATCTAGTTCAGTTAACAGAATTGGGCTATATGCTTAAAGTGTCGTGCGAAAGTTTTGTTAAATGTCGAGAAAAAAAGGCACTCAACATTTATGAATAACGGAAAATGGAAATATTCTTCCTTCAGGTACGTCTTTATCTACAATTTTAAAGTTTGAAATAGTATCAGAAATAAAACATTTTAGCTTATATTGAAAGATCGCTGATTAGTTTATGCATTTAAAGTGTGCTTTTTGCGATTGTAGTTAAGTTGAGCTAACATTATATTAGGAGCATCATATCATCTCAAATTGTTTAGGTCTATGCATTTTTTGTCATCATATCTTTTTTTATAGTTTATAGGTCTTACACATTCTGCAGCAAATCTTCTAGGCCACTATACAGCCATATTACACGTGTACGTCCTTAGAAATGCATTGTTGCTTGGAAAACACATGATTACCTCTTGATACTGTTTGACCACTCCAGGGCCTTCCATCATCAATCGGCACACATCATCACCATTGGTACAATACACTCGTGACTTCAAAGGCTTTTGGGCGTTCAAGTTAATATCTCTCGGCCAATCCTGCCCCGATACTGTCAAAATAAGCAAAATTTGTACTGTTTCGTGTCATGCTGTACTTATATTCGTCTAGTTGGAGCGTTCTCATTTTACGCGGTTGCTGCATGGCTGCACTTCACATTCCGGCGCAGCAGGCGCTGTTGTGCTTGTTACTGACTGCCCGCAAACGTCCATCTCTCATTTGTTGTCTATCGTATAACTGTGCATTTGTCGTCCATCGTATAAAAGCTACACCTTACGCAACATTCACAGTGGGATGCGTTATTTCCGCCACCAGCCAAGCATAGCTGTAAGATCTGCCAGGGTTATACGTCATGCACATTTTTATTTTTTTCAATTTCCTCACGTGAGCTTAATCTCAATCCCTATTTTAGATTCCCCTCTCCCCATTCCTCCACTGCATATTAACCACCGACAACAGTGTGAATACGCGCGACTCCAGCAAGAAAGATTCTCTTCGCAAACAACAAAACAGCAAGCGAGTGGACGAAAAAAAAAGTGAGAAAATTGCAGGCAAAATATTATTCGCTCGTGCTATAGCGTTCGTGTCTCAATTCAAACTTCTCGGCGTAATGTGACGGAACCAATTTATGCTGAAACGGGTCTGACCATGTTTGTGTGGCGTTTTTTTTTCCTCCACTTGGCGGCTGTTAACATGCGAACAGCTCGATGCAAGAGCCTTCCGGAGCGGCCTGCGCATGGATTCGTGATCGCACCCAAGACGGACCATGGCATGCGGGCACTGTTCCGCTGCACCGACGGATACCAACTGGTGGGGCCCAACGTCACCGTTTGCCAGTTTGGAAATTGGACGCACGAGGCTGTGCCCTTGTGCCGAGAGAGTGAGTAAGACGACAACGAACTAGTGATGGCACTTTTAGTAAGCCGTGGTGCCCACGCTTTCTATTCATCTCTTTTATTTTATCCCAAATTGAGGAAAAAAAGAAAGGTTTGCAGCAGTCACCTCTCCGACAACAAGTCGATGTACCTGTGGTCGAAAGATCACTAGCCGTTAAAGCACAGCGTGTACCCGTTGTCTGAAAGGAAAAAAAAACGTCGGGCTGCGTGCCAATCTTACTAATATTTTGGCTAATGAGAATTGTTTTTTATTGGCTGACGATCACGCGCACTCTGCAGCTCTTCTGATCAGACGGGAACTCGCGGCCTGTCTGATCAGAAGTTGTTCACCATGCAGTTGTATCATGGTCAACTATTACGTATGAAACAGAAGCTCATGAAAAGTGTTGTTTTGCTCCAGCATTAAACACATCAAAATTAGCGAGGGCAACCTCACTGGGCAAACGGGAAGTACGCACTCTTTGAGGGTTGTTGGTACAAAGTTGGTGTTATTTGATGAATCAGAGATCAAGTGGTCGTATCCACGCAGGAACACTTGTTGTTATTGCTAGTTGATTCATACTGTCTTGCTGACAGTGAAGTGGTGGCCGTTTTGCGAAAAACTACAAACTAAAAGTAAATAATAATCCGATTGCTAAGTCTTTATTCTAAGCCTACCCACACGTTTAATTACTACACTGTGCTATCAACATATATTCGCGTGGCTTTTTGTGCTAGTCTGTTATTGCACCAAAAGATCTAATAGCGTTGCTATACATGGTCGAGGAAAAAACAACAGGACTGGTGCTAACTTTCAACTGACTTTTTATTGTCAAAATCAACACTACAAGAAGATCTGTGCACTGAAAATTTCCCAATTACATCTAATGAAAACCTGTCACGTCTATAGAAGGCTGAATTCATGCGAAAGTTTCTTAAAAGAGTGCACTGTTGTGTACATATGAGTGCATATAAAAATACGCGAGAGATCGTCGAAGACGGCAAGTGTCAGAGATAGCTATGTCAGCTGCCTTTTGGCTCCGCTGTCGACATGCAAATGATTTTACCTAACCAGTCACGGCAGGTTTTCATGTGTGGTGATTAAGCTTTTTGCCGTGTACTTGTAGTGTTGCTTGTGACAAGAAACATTCCATTTATGCATTTCGGTTAGCGCTGTGACAACTTTTGAAACATTTATCCACCGCTCACATGCTCATCAATTTTCATCAATTTGTGGTTCACAATCTAACGACGGTCAGTCACTCAGTTCTTTGTTTCTTCGATCACACTGAAATCCCATGCACCGTTTAAAAAGAGTGTCTTAAGCAATAACATTAATGTCGGCATAGACTTCTGGCATGTTGACGTGAATCTCTTTGGCATTTGGTTTTTCAAATGCAGCTCGTGACCTTCCCGATCGACCCCTGGCGTTTTCGCTTCGATGTTCTATTGGTTTTTCATAGTGCAAAAAAAATCTATTTAGATCTTCTCAAGATAAGCAAGGTGCTGATCATGTTTATGATTTTCCTGGTGCGTGTGTTCCAAATTTATGGCATCAGTACCACAAACCTAAAAATTCCTCGTTACTCGGTGAAATGTTGGTATCCTGAGAGCTTGGCGTGGTGGCCGCGTCAGTGCGAATAAACAGTACAACCTCAGATCTATTCTTACGAATTGGTGGCTTATTTTTATATGTGAGCCAAGTGTTATCCTCATAAGTTACTCTATTAGTTTTTTTTTACTTCAGCATATCTCTTCGCTGTAGTTGCAGGAGCTCTGACTACTGTGCATCTTTCCTTCAAAAGGACCGTTCGGTTTACATTTCTTGCGTCTGCCACTCTCTCAGTAAGAACTAACGTTACCGAGGGCACTTATGGGGAAAGAAGCACAGCCCGTGGCTTTGCCTGTCTCTTCACTATGACACTATAGCTCCATTAAAGTGTTGCTAGTTCTAAACGGAACGCTGTCAGAGGAGCTCACATGATGCAGGCGCCACATCCAACGTCTTTTGAAAAGCGGCCCAGGAGTACCTGCTCAGATGTTCCCAACTGACAGGCACTTGAGACTCGCTTCGTACTCATCGACGTGTTTACACAGCGCTCCGAAGAGACAAATCTAGCGGTGGGGGTCTCCTGAGAGCAACCATTACAAGCGAACACCGCGCTCGAGCTTCAAGAGATCGTCGTTCGCGAGAGTGCTTGCGGGTGCGCGACATCAGTGGCATACGAGCATATTTGAATCTGCTCCAATGAAAAGTGGAGCAACATGCGATGTGCAAACGCGCCGTTCTAAAACGCTCTCAGAGTGCTTAGGCACGCACGCAGCAGTCTCTAGTGGAGAGCAGGAAAATACTCATAATATATTATTTCCAGGGCGCGGCGCACTCATGCGTAAATCTCACACACCGACTGTTCAACAGTTTCATTATCGAGTGTCTGACAAGCAAAAGGCGTAAGTGGCCCACGCTGCCGCATGCCAGTAGTATAGTAAATCATCAATGCTTCGGTGCTTCTGTTGTCCTGAGATTTACGTTTCCTTGTTCACTTCTATGAAAGTGCACTCAAGATGTATCTTATACAAACTTATATTTCATTCATATACAGTATGCGAGCCAATGTTTACGAGTTGCTGATTTAAAAACAGAGAGCTTACTCATATGCAAGCGACCATCACGTCAGCATCTTTTTTTTTTTTTATTTCACGTAGTGCACTGCTCACGGAACTCAATGAGGCGCCAATTTCAATTGCTCTTTAGGGCAAAAAACTAATCTGGGATGCACACGATCACAAGTATGACACATGTGCAAGCTTCCTCGAAGGACTGCCTTTGGCAAAAGCTTTACACTATATCTAAAGAAGGCCTCTGTGTTTTCAAGTGGCGCACGTGTCGGCCTACGTTCTTATACGTCTGTATTTCTAACGGAAAATTTCGGCGCTTGTACTTTAAAGGTGCTTCACGGGAAAGCTCCATATTGAAGACTCTTTTGCGCATAGTTTAAAAGTGTGAGAACGAGAGGGAGTTCCTTTTTATCAAATATCTCACTTCATCCGAACTTCTTTAGGGAAAAAAAGACAACAAGGATGTTACTAGCAGGAACGCTGATGCATCCTCCGATACTTTCACGACGTTTCCGGTTGCGGGCAAAGAAAGAAGTTTTCAGCGCTGCATAGAAGCTATGCTAAAGTACTCGGTTTCACTTGAAGCCATTTTTAAGAAACGGTAACGGGAGGTTCTGCAGCTGCCTCTGTCTGTTCGCGAAAAACTTGGGACTCTTGAAATTATTAAATCGAGTGCTCTGTGGTGGATCGCGCTCTTGTGCAAAGCAGCGTGAGTTTCTCAATATGTTCAGCTGCGGTCTCTGCTTTCAGTATAGCGACCTGAAAATTATTTCTACTACATTCGCTTTGCCGATCTCCCCCCGTTTCTAAGCAATATAGTTTACGTACTAGCGTGAGATAAAAGTTACATTTGTGTCCCAGCAGCTTTTAGCAAGAGGGCATATATTGTTAGTCGTCTACTGGAAGCACACAGTGAGCTGTATCCGAGGTAACCAGCAAAAGATGTGCGTCGTAGAATCGTGATCTCACGACACGTGCCTGGCTTCAAGAAATACTCTAACTAAATACCAATTCCCCTTGCGTAGTTTCCTAAGCAAAGGGCATGCAGAAGGCCGCGTCTATTTTACTCCTAATTATTAAGGGTAACCTTCAGGGCTGCCTAATAACTGCGCGGACAGGCGAACATCTTTTCTTTTGGACGGAGCTCATAGAGCCATCTAGCCGTCTCTGCTGGAAATATTCACGCCTACACTCTCGGAGATTTCATTTTGCCTTTAAGGTAGTTCCGATCATGCGTTGATAGTTGCTGCAATCCTGCAGTTCGTTCCAACACAGCTGCATATCTTTACGATAAGGTGTATTCCCCTCCCTCTTTCATGAGCTCGGAACCGTTGAGACAGACCTACTATGTTACGTGTGTGACGCCGTATTTTTGCGAACTTTACAAACCTGATTTAGCTAACAGCTTCCGTGGCAACCTATTTCTGATTGCTCTAAAAGTACGACTCAACTGCGAGTGAATGGACCTACTCAGACTTGCCTGATGTGCGAGCCATGCAGCTTTGAAAAGAGCCATGCTATACACCGAAATTTTTCCGTACCCAGCGCGAAGACTGAAATAGGAGGTATGAAACGACAGTGAAAGTATGCCTTTATACTTCGTTCCGGGTTCGTTACCATAAATGCAGAGAGGAGAAAAAAGAGTGAAAGACAGAGAGAAGCAGGACTTACAGCAAGGCACTGAAGTTAGGTGAAGAGCAGCTCATCTGGTTTTCAATACCGATGGCACTGTGAGGAAGCAGGCGTTCAGGGCAATCGCTTTGGTAGAAGATCCCTCGTCTACAGTAATTTAGGACACATCGGAGACCCTGTCGAATCTGCGTTTAAGCTGTTCAGAGAACACAAGAGTTCGTTTCCGCATTCTATTTTATTTATAACTGTTTTATAGCTATTTTTGCCAACTGTAACTTATACTATTCGACCTCTGTGTAGTCTTATACACTGATCCTCATATTAGGAAGCTATCGTTACAACACTCTTCGCATGACGTTAATGAGATGCTTAGACCTGATCCCTGCAACGCAGAAGAAAACCCGTCTCCTTTTCATTTACTCTTACACGCATTTATGACGTAACACCATATACGAAAACCCGCTTTGGTTCGCTTTTCTTAATTAGTTTTAAATCAATGCTACTGTTAGCTCGACTCGTGATTTTTCTACGGTGCGTTGCTATAGAATTCGTGCTGACGCGCAGTCATCTATCAAGAAAAAAAAACAGTATTAGAAACAAGCGTAATTAGGAGACATTTCATGACGTTCACTGGAGATGAGGTATCTTGAAAGCGCTTCTACGTCGCTTTTGTTACACCAGAAAACTTATCAGCGTGCTCGGCGGCAGGGGAATGAAAGTGGTTAGTAAGCCATACTCAGTATACAGCAGGCTC